ATTCTCTACACAGCACTCATCCAAGCAAAAACAAGTTGCTCATTGCCTTCATAATTTTTAATTATACATAAAGTTTATTTTATTTGTTGAAATCGTTAGAGTGACTTCCCTTTTCTCAATTCCCTTGGTGTCAGTTTAAAAACCTGCAAATGTAATATGAGATGTGAGGGAAGTTCTTTTCCTAGTTAGCTCACTCACAAACATGTATCTAAGAAACAATCTCCGATGTTTACAATGAGTGAATACTTCAGCCTTAGTATAATTAAGTTAAAATTCAATTAGTAATGAGACCCAAATCCAGTCTTAATTACTTTACTATCTCTTCCTCATTCATTCTAGAGGACAAACCTGGTCTGCAGGTGATTAAGATGGTTTGCAATGGAGGAAGTTAAACTGTTAGAATCCCTAGTCATTTGTCCATGATGACAAAATCCAAAAATAGATGGGCTAATTCAGAATTAAAATTTGCCTCCTTGTTTATATGGGGAAGGACTACAAGAAGGTGACATCAAAATCTGGGAAGGAAAAATAAAGTGAAAAATAAGTCAGAAGTAAGGACTCAACACATGACATCCACAAAAAAGCCTGAACCACCAAGAGCAACCAACATGGCCTGTAGCTTTCCTCTGTACAGAGAAACCCAACTAGTGTGTACCATTTAACAAGAAGAAATGAACCCTACACAACTTTCTTTGTCCCAGACTTGCTACTGCCTCAGCAAAGGCCTAATAAAGAGAACTTCCAAACTCATGTATATGTAAATCAGTTCTGATACTGATGGCTTCATCAGGTAGACAAAATCTCCATAGGCCCAACAGGAATGCTAGATTAGGAACTTCAAACTGACCTCTCCTGAAAGACATTCTCCAGCACCATTCTCACTCCACATAAAGGGCAAGTATGAGTAAATCCTGTCAACATGCTCAACTCCAAGTCAAAAGTCAGTGACCTACACCTCTGATGTGCTACATAGTCAGGATCATACAGATTAAACAGTTGTGTTTGTAACAAAATAGGTAATTAATATAAATCCACAAGGGTACCATGGTTTTGGCAGTGAATGCTTGCTCCTAACTGCTGTGTGATTGCTCATTCCTTCTTCTCTAAGCACTCACCTGGACACCTTGGATCTGATGAGTAGAGCCAAGTAGCCACTGAAATAAATGGGAATGTATGCTAAATATAAGTACTTTCCTATTTTGTAAGTTCTTAGAAATCACACCCCTGTGACAGATACTAAATTGGACATCCAAATTTAGTACTTCTGACCTCTATTTTAAGGTTTTGATCATTAAGCTGACATTGCCTGGATGGGTTCCTAGAAGAGGCTGGAGTCTACAGAAGAAGGAAAGGAGATCATTTTATTAAATGTATTACCTCGGTGCACATGAAAATCTGAAATTCTTTCTGCTTTATTCTACTGGAATTCTTTCTACTTTATTTTACTGTTATCTCTTAATGTAGTTTTAGTCTTCATGACTTCATATGGAAAATGCATCACTGATGCAGAAGTTACTAGAGGTGAAACCAAATGTTTGAGTGAAAATAAGCATACCAGAGCAGGTTTGGAGATAAATATTAAGTGGTCAATTTTGCTAAAACAAGGTAACACTACTAAGTACACTGTTATTAAACATTTAGTGTTTCCAAATGAATACAAATGTAGAAAGACAGAACTACATCAATTTATCACTGCAGTAACAACATTATGTTTACTGCCAAGAAAGAAATGGAATGAAGGAAGTAACAAAATTAGATTAAGATGAACAGCCTGATGACTGGAGAGACCCTGGGACCACAACACACAAAACTCTGTCTGCAACACAAAACATCTACATTTGGCTAATAACATAATATTGAAATAGGTGTATTGAAGGTATACTTTAAGTTCTGTCACAGTAGGATAGGATAGGAGAATTTAATTTCATTTCCAACATGTCTTAGGCTCTTGCTATAGCCTCCCTGAGAGCCTTCCAAGTTCAAGGCATACCCCAGTACTGAGAATGACAGAGAGATGGTTACTTACAGCTATGTGAGTGATGTTTCTTTCTTCTCTGAACCTGTAATAGCTTTTTTCCAGAGAACCCAAACAATTTCCTCGGAAGCATGGTCTCCTAGCTTTCTGCTATTCTACAAAACATAATGGAGAGCCAGATACTTGCACTTTGCTCCAGGGACTGGAGTGAGAAATTACTTCTTTACATTCATTTAATATCATATCACTTTTAATTCATGCCAGGTTCAGTTAACCGTGCAAATAAAGATGTTTATTCACAATATCTGAAACAGATAACAAGATTGTAAATGCATAAGGGGAGGAAAAATCAAAGAAAAAAATTACTCTTCTGAAGTTAAATAATGGAAGTTTTGGGTTCTTCCTCTCAGGATGCCTTGCAGATTTTCCTAATTATCTGTCTTCCTAAATTACTATGTTCTTTTACATACTTACACCTCAGACTGCAACCTTTATGGAAAATCTGTATCTTTAGACTATCACTACACCAGTGCTGCTACATTCACCACCAGCCGGCAGTCTGGAGCCTTCTCTAGGAATTGCAGTTACTTACTCGTTCTTTTGCCTGTCACCAGATCACCACCTCTGTTTTATTCATCACCTCTGTTTTATTCATTGGTTGGTTGTGAGAAGATGTTCTGGATCCAGCTTTGCTCAGATTTTTAAGACCCGATTTCTTGAGTTTCCAGTGTATTTTTATGAAACAACAAGAACAGAAAAATACCAGTTATTTCACTCAATCTGTGATATACACCTGTAGATTATATACAGAATCACTGATTGGCTCTCAAGCCACCTAAAATACAATTTAAAGAAATAATTAACTTTGATTAATCTCAGCTTCCCTAACCCTTAAGGAAATTTTAAGAATAGGATGTATGAAAAAATGAAGAGATACAGAGAGGTGAATACAGAAAGAGCAACATGTGGTGCAGAAGTGCAAAATTAATTTCCAGTCTTTTTCAACTTACTGTAAAATTTTCAACTATGAATTGTGAAATTCTCCAAAATCACAGCTGTTAAAAAAGGCAGTTAACAAAGCCACATACTCTGATATTTAACCTTTCCATATTGTGATAAGCTATGTCATTCCAACTGTTGCAGTTTTATAGTTCTCTAAAAGATGCTTTATGAGGTGACCTGTTTCAATACTAACAGTTGTTGCTATCATCACTGTCGTAATTTCCTGTCAACAGACTGGTGATAGAGACTTCTTAACTAAGCTCTCACACCTTTATTACTGTGTCTAGCTGGCAGATCTAGCCAAGATCAAACTTCATGTTTGAGCAGTTCTATTTGTATAACTGCACTTTATAGCAGTGGAAACTGAGCAAGTCCAAGAAACCTCAAATCACTTTGGCCTCAGTCACCTATAATAACTAACACATATACTATATATATATAATATTGTCTGAATATACATATATATACACACTAATACAGTTGAACTCTACCAATAAAAAGAAAATGTAAATTAAGAAGTTACAAGGAACAAAGGACTGCCTGCACACAGCTTAACAACTATTTTGTTGGGAGTTTGAATAGCGTATGAATAAATTAAAAAAAGCAACTTGACATGAGATTTACAAAGAAGTATTAACCACAACAGACCATTTACTGTATGGTGACTGGCAGAATACATTTAGAAAATCACACCAGTACTTAAGTACAAACCATACACCTAATATAGCAGAATGTTGAATAGGTCCACTATTTCAAATCAAAAGGTATCAACTGATCTCTTCATATACTGCCATATATTCCAACCAAAACACTCTTTACTAAATCTGTTCAAATTAGAAAGAAAGAAAAAAGAAAATTAACTGATGAAAATAACTCAGATCAAAAAGCAAGGACTTGCTTAAGCACTGTCTCTCTAAACACTGTCTTAATCTAAAATTTAACATTGTTTTCAAACCTGTAAAGTGGTAAAGGTGGGAAACAAAGGATAAGCAATTACCTCTTGTAGCCTTACCAACACTTAAGGCAAAGAAAGTGAAATCTACGACTGCCACTGGGAATTTGACAACAAATGTCACAATCACAGCAGATTATATCTCACACAGCTCTCCGGAGAAATGACATACATCAAAAGGACCAACAAACCACCCTTCTTCACTCCTCCTGAAAAGCCTGGATCACTCGGCCCACTGATAACCTCAACTAATGTTTTGCAATCGGAGAAGAAAAACACCGACCTATAACCGAATACCGGAACTGGAGGAGCTTTATCCAGAACAGGACTTTAAGCATATAGCTGGCAGTGTTTCCCTGAACCGGCGCAGTGCATTCTCTTCAGCCCTGATCATCCTTCCCTAAGATGCTCAGGTGAGACTCGAGCGCCACGCCAAGGGCCCCTCCCGAGGCAGACTCCGTACATCAAAGCAGCGCTCAGAACCAAACCCGCTGGGCCTTAGACCATGCATACCCATCAAGGTGGGTTCAACGAACAATGGAGGCTAAATTCCTGACAGGGCGAGGGCTGCGCTCGGAACAGCGTGTCGGTGCCCGCTCCAGTGGAGCGATGCCCAGGAAAGCCTCTCCGCGACCTGCCCATGGGGAATGCGCAGCGCCCGCCCGCGGCCCCGCGGGGAAGGCGCAGCAGAGGCCCTGGAGGCATCGCTGGGCCTGAAGCGCCGCAGGAACCACCCCCACCCCGACCCCGGCCCGCCGCCCGCAGAGCCACCGCCCTCAGCCGCCCCAGGAACGAAGCGGAGTGCAGCGACCAGTGGCCGCACCCTCGCGGAGAAGGCCGGTGTCGGGCCCCGACCCGCCTGGGGCACCGCCGGGACGCGGATGCGAGGGGACCCGGCGCCCCCAGACCACAGCGCCCCGGTGCCGCCATTTTGCGGCCTGGCGCGCTGACATGTCGCGCGCAGTGCGTGGCACCGCCCCCCGCGCCTGCGCCCCGCGCCCGCGGCGGCCGAGCCGGGGCAGCTGCTCAGCGCCGCGGCGGCGGCGGAGACAAAGCGCCGGGTAATGAATGGGACGGGCCCGCCCGGCCCTTCCTCTTAACTCCTTCGGGCCCGGCCGGGCGGCGGCAGCGGCGACCTCCGGTTTCCCCCGCGGTGGCCGCCCGGGGAGGTGAGTGGCACTGTTCCGGCACCGGGAGGGCGCTGGGCTGGGCGGTACGGCTCTCTGGTCCCGCACCCCCCCTCCCCCTCCCGTGCCCGCCACCGCCGCCTTTGGCCTCGGCGGCCTCGGTGCCTTGCGCCGCTCGGGACCTACGTCCCGGGCCCGGCGGCGCCTTGTCCCTCCCGGCAACGCCCGCGGGACAGCGCCGCTAGGCCGGGGAGGGGGCGTGTGGCGGCGGGGTAGTGTAGGAAGCCGGGAACCAGGCCCGCGGTGCCGGCTCTATTGTCTGCGGGGCCCCGCAGGGGGCCCGGACGGCCCGGTGAACGAAGGTCGCTGGTGCCGAGGGGTTCGGTGTTGTCCCGGGCCGCCCGGCAGACCCCGCCGCCCCCCGCCCGAGGAGGAGTGCCCGCCGGGTACGCCTCGAGTCCCCCCGGGGTGTGCGCGGCGCGGGCCGGGCCGGGCCGGGGCGGCGGGACCCGCCGGGGCTGAGCGCCCGCGCCCACCTGGCGGGGCCGCAGGAGCCGGGCCCGCGGAGGGAGCCGTGACCATGTGGCCGCTGCCATCCCGACCCAAGATGGCCCAGGCAGCCCTGGCGTGGAGAACCCGTCCCCCTCCTCAGGGTGCGAGCCCGGGACCGGGGACCGCCTCGGGTACGGGCTCCCGAGAGGGGTGCCGGGACCGGAAAGCCCGGGAATTCCTAAAAAGCCTTTCCCCCCCGAGAAACAGGACACGAGGTGGACAGGCGCCCGCCAGCGGCTTCGGCCGTGGTGTGAGCACCCCGTCTCTGCGTGTGTGTGTGCGGTGAAGTTCCAGCCATCCCTCCTGGGCAGAGTCGCTCAAGAATGGTGTCTCGGAAAAGTGCAGAATTTAGCTTTCATGTAGTGCTGCTCTCGTTTTCTGCTTGAGGCGTGGTAGTTTTTGCTTAAAAATGTTTTTTGTAGAGTCTAGATCTACACTTAGACAGCTGCTGACGTTAGAGAGCTTGTGTTAGAATGCTTACTGGAGTTCTCAGGGTGTCCGATGAACTTAAAGTTGTCTGCTGCATATACAGCCTACTAAAAGTATAAAAACATATATTATTGTAGTGAGAGGTTGACGAGTCTTTTGCATTAATGGTGATTCTATTTATCATTGCTAAGTTTAGTAGAGCTAGGCTTTGCAGTGTAGAGACCTTTCTCTGTAGTGCTTATGTGTTAGAAGCAGTCCTGTTTTGGGGGGGGGGGGGGGTGTCCTTAGAAAATTTCAGTAATTTAGCATGAGCTGTCATGCTACACCTATAATACTAAGCAAATAAAGTATTTCAAGCCCCCATAATATGAATGTACTTTCCTTACATGTTGTTGTCTTTATGGCCTACTATACATGTGCATCTGTGTTGCTTTTCAAGAGCATGAGCACAGCACTTTTTTTCTAAAGGTTACTTCCACTAATGCAGTGTTTCACTTTAAGAGCAGGCACGCACCCTTGAGAGGACATTACTGGGGGGAGTGAAGTCTGGAAGACTTTATCAACTATCCCTAAAATACTATGCAGCTACTAGGAAGCCTGTGTTTGTGCAAATACTGGGCAAGGGCATTCTCGTTATTATTCACTATGGAGACTGGTTTTGCAGAGGAAAAAAATTTGTTCAAAACAAAATAAATTCTTTTGTGTACTTTAAGGAATTTGGGTTCTGTCCACTAGGTATAAGACCAACAGGCAAGGTGCTGACAGTTTTTGTACAGTTGGATGTGTGTCTGCTTTGGTACTTTATGTTGCTAGTATATTGCAGCTCTAACAGATGTTGAGGAATTTATTCCATAGGAGTTCTCCAGAGCAGTCAAATGTAAGAATTGATTGAGAATAAGTCAAATGAAGTATCTAAACTAAGCATCTCGGATAAAAGTTTTCTAAACATTTGTACTGTTACATAACAATAACTCTTTTACTTCTTGTGGTGTAACACCCTTCATCCTTGTGACTACTCTGCCTTCTTGGAAGCTCCTGGTGAGCTGTGACCAAACCAGCTGAGTGGTGAAGTGTCCCTTGACTGTACCAGTTGGGCTGCAAGGCACTCCCTGATCATACCAGGAGCTCTGGCCTGATGAAGGTGGGAAACAAAGGATAAGCCTCTTGTAATTACCTCTTGTAGCCTTGGTAAACCATTTACCTGGTTGTAGCCTGAGTGGAACGGTACCATTGTTAGTGCACTTTGGGGAGAAAAGCTTACTAGTCACTGACTTGATTTATGGTCGGGAAGGAAGGTTACTGATGGCCAAAGTCAGTCATCTTCTGACCCTATAAACTGCAATCCTAAGTGATGTTGTTTGGGCTTGCCTGGACCAGCACCTCCCAGAGCTCGCAAACCCTTAAGTTTGTGGTACTCAAGGACTGTCAGCCCCTCTCCCTCCATCTCCATGTTCCTCAAGATGCAACCATTGCCTGTTGGGAAATGCAAAGGAATTTGACATATTGTAGTGAATTCAAAAGGAATTTTTCGTATTAGCCTTTACATACATAGAAATAGGTGTATACATCATTTATCTGTGTATATGTGACTTGATTGTGGTACAAATATTTTGAATCCATAGTTAAGTCATTGTTATAGTTGTTTTGAAAATTATCAAACTGCTTTGTAATTGTCAAAGTACTCAAGTATTAAGTGCTGCTAAATCCTTCTGCACCCTTATCTTTCCACACCATATCCTTTGCAGTCTTACTGCTTTTGCACTCACAGCTTCTGTGTAAATCATTCCAAATTGCTTCTTATTTGATCTTCTTTGCTTACTTTAGTCTGTGTAGTAATTAGTAGAGTGAACCTTGCCACTGAACTCTGTAAAGTTGCATTTTCACATATCCATATTAAACTCTGCTTTTGCCAGTACCTTTGACAGTGTTTCTTTAAGCAGCCAAACCACTCATTCATGATGTCTATATAAGGCAAAATTGTAACAGGTACAGCATCCTCCTCATTGATAATGTGAGAGGCAAAGTATAGAACAGCAGAAGGCTGTTCTATAGGTGATGAGCTTAGAGTAATGTTTGCTGTCTTTCTGTTACCTTGTCTGCAGCCTCTCTATCTGCTGCTTCCCCTTACTATGGCTTATTTAATACTGAGACAGTAAATGTCCAGAGCAAGAATCTGTGTTTGCAGAACAGCCAGTGTCACAGGTGGTTAGTGGAGAGGGGGTCTTCTTTAATAAGTATTAACACATCACTAAGACTTTTAACAGGGCCTTGGAAAATACAGGAGGGCAACGGAATTTTATATGTTTATTTAAAACTGTCCATCCACTAAAGTAGAATATCCTATCAAATACTTTCAAAAACTGGGTATTACAGAAGTAGGTAGCCTTTGAGCCTGCTGGATCTTTCTGTCTTCTTCTACCTTTTTCTTGGAATTTGTTCTCTTTTAGTTTTTAGACTCCTAAATACGTTAACTTCTGAGAGATTTTTTTTTTCCTCTGAGTAAGTTTGAGTTAAAGAATGTACATGTTGTATTTCCCAACAGCTTGCTGCATTTTATTACCATTCACAGTGAAGAATATTTACAAGGGGGGGTTTGTAAATCCTGTTTTTTTGCAGCTTGCTTTTAATTTTAAAAGAGTTTAATCTTCAAAGGGAGCATGTTTTGCTATGTGGTTGCCCCTGTAATGAACACTTAAAATAATCAGCCATATGTAAATAATAATGATGATACATGTGTATTGGCTTAGTTTTATATAGAAAAGAATATTATAGATAGTTTAGTGGGGAATTTTGTACGGTATGGAGCAGAGTGTTTAACTCATTGTGACTGACATTTTTTCTGAAGCAGGGACGATCTTTGTATTTTAGTAGTATCAACATAAGTTAATGTAATTTACATCGTGCTCCCTGTTGTAGTGTATACTTTCAAAACAGACTTCACAAAGAAAGAGTTCCGATATGACAGATGTGCCTTGTTTTCTGCACTTCCTTGACTATTTTATTTTGTATTTGTTATTGGCATCCTCAGTACTGGTCAATTTACAACTATGGAATTGTTTCATTTCAGCCAATTAGTGAAAAATTTATATGTGGCCTAATGGTAGCTTTATATGTGGCCTAACAGTAGCTTTCAAATGAAATCTAGAGTTTAAAGCTCTCAGGTCAAGAAGTAAGAAAAACTAAAGCTTTTATCATAATTTTTTGTGCTTTTTGTCTGTTTGTTTGGTTTGGTTTCAGGGGTTTTTTTTTGTTTCTTTGTTTGTTTGTTTGCTGAAGCAAAGGAATTCTGTCCCAAATTAGTGTGATATATAGTTTAATCATGGTAGTATTGGTTTAGGTTTGGGGTTGTGGTTTGGTTGTTTGGTTTTTTTTTTTTTTGTGATGAGATAGAACTCATATGATTGGCTGTTGAAGCAGCAACAGGGAAATAGCTTGGTTTTTAAGGCCCTTCTTTTCATTCCAGTATGATGATTCAGGATACATGGTGGTTTTTTTTTTTATATTGAACAACATATTGGAAGGTGAGGTATGGGTATTTTCTATAGTCTAAGACTGGTTTTCAGTGGATGTTGACATAAGAAGTATTATTATATTACTATAATCTTTATGTAAACTCACAACCTGTGTGCTCTCTTTAGCAATGACTGCGCAGCTGCGTCCTTTCCATCTCTCAGCTCCTTCCCTTCCCCCTTTGTTGTTTAAAGACATGTAGGGTTGGACAATCCCTCTCTGAAGGTTTAGAAGGTTACTAGTTTTTTGTTACAGCTGTGTGAAAGGTTGTTGAATTTTTCTTTTTTTTTTTTCTTTACAATGTCTTCTAGTTTGCATTCACTGGTGTCCTACAGATACGTTTTTCCTGTGATGTGTTAAAGTAATTTTTGCAGTGACTGTTCAGAATTTCTGTGTATTTAATATAAAAGCCAGTTCTGGGGTGTACTCATTAGCTTGAAAATCAAGGCTGAAAATAGGATTTTTAACAGTTAAACATTTTACCAACACTTTTTTGCAATTATTTGCAAAATACCTGGGACAAGATATTTAATAATGTATTTCTCTCATGTGACAATGATCAAAGAATTTGTGCCTGTTTTACTCCAAATAGGTTAAGTGGCTTTTCAGTAGTTATTCTGCTTACCTGTTGCTATAATTCTATATGCTGAATCACTGTCTGCCTCTAAATAAAGTAATCTGTGATCCAGAAAAAATTACTTTTTCTTTGTTATTCTTCTCACAAAAATAAGCAATCAAGAAAACCCAAACATTAATTTGAATTGAACAAAATGTTTGGCTGGGCTTGAAACTATAGTCATATTTAACAAATTAGAGAGGGGGAAAATAGAAGAGTTGAGGGGTTCTGGTATTTTTTAAAGACATCAGGGAGCATGAAGATGCATATTTGTATTTTATTTTGCCTGTAGTCTGATGGCTCTGGCACTTGCAAGGAATGTGGGAGAGCCAGGTTCATTTCCCTGCTTTGCCTGAGGAGCTTAATCCACATCTGAGGAGAGTTCCCTAACTGCTCCACTGAGCACTGTGCCTCTGGTGGGTCTGTGCCTCCTTGGCTGACACCTTCCCCTCTGCATACATTATTTAAATGTTGCTGTAATAGGGATAGCTACAGTATCTCAACAGTCAAATTAGCTAGCAGCACAGCTCTGGAGGTGTTCAGTTGCTTAAGAGGCACTATAGGAGTGGTTTTAAGTAAAAAATGTCACTAAGAGAAGTGACACCTAGTTCATTTCATAAGGCACACTAAGCCAGTCATCAGGACTGTTTGCCCTCTGAGAGGTGATCTCCTTCCTGAAGAAAAAAACCCCTAAGTGTGGGTGTATATATATGCATGTGTGTGTGTGTGTGTGTATTTATGTAGTGTTAAACATCTCAGTCTGGTTAAGAAGAGTAATCACTGTAATATAAGAGAGAATGCTTGTAGATTGTGGATTTTCTAAGGTGGCAAAATGTTTTCTTGTTTTGTTGGGTTGGGTTTTTTTCAGTGTACTGGGTCCTCTGCACTATGGCACTCATGTCTGTATATTGATGAGATCAGTGGGACTGAAGTTGCAAAACTCAGAAAAGGTGTCCTGCAATAGGCTGCTTTGGTCTGTTTAGTTGCTAAGTCAAAATACATGATCTAGTATGCTCCACTTGCAATCGCTCCTTTCTCATAGGTGGGGAATGATAATCTTATGTTGATTCTGTGCTATTGCATGTTGATTAATACATGTGGTTGGTGCAGTGTATAAGCAATATGTTTAGCTTAGGAAGAGAAGGTGCAACAAGGTGAATCCTGTAGTGCATGGAAAGGTGTCAGCAAGCTCCTTTGAAATCTTGCATGTAATGTAGACTCTGTTTCATTCAGCATAAGCATAAAAAATGGAGTAGTGCTAAAATAAATCAAAAATTTTGCTTTTAAATTTTGTCTTAGCAATCATCTGAGGGGTTTTTATTATGTTTTTAATTTTTATTTTGCTTTGGAGCTCTAGAAGTGATAATGTCTCATTTTTCATGATAGCTGTGAGGGCTAGAGATTTGAAAAAAGGTGAGAGTCATGTAAGTGCAGCTCCTGAAGCTGTCACCTAAAGAGAAATTTGAAACATCCCATGAGTCGCCACTGTGACAGTTAATGTGTTTAAAAAAACAATAAAAGTAATTACTTTCTTCTTTTCCTTAGATACAATCATCTCATTAAGTTTGAGTAGCAAGTATTTAACCTCAAATGAAGCCGCCTGCCTGCAGTGGAACAGATGTGTAAGTTTGTTTGTTTTTCTCAATAAACTAGTGAGCAGCTTGTTTGTTTTCGGTCTTGTATCATTATTTTTATTAATTTGAAGGAAGACAATGGAAAAAGGGAATGAATAATTGTATGCCTGTGCAGTGACTTGTATGGAGCTTAATAATTTAGCAGGAGGTTTGTATGAGTGCCTGAGCCTTAAGAATTAAGTTTGGAAGCCTGGATATCTTTAGAGTGGTACAGAAATAGTAACTATTTTATGATTTATGGGGCACCTTTTACTCTGTGGTATCAGCTGGCATATATACATCCTTACCCTGAATTATACCGTTTAAAAAGGGGAGATAACTTAGATGCTGCATTCATACTGTACTCGAATTACCGGCGTCTTAATCGGATTTTATGTCTTCACTGAGCGAGTTAGTTTTAATATTTTCTTCTAGGGATTTCATCTGAAAATATTAAAACATTATATGTTCTGTTTGAGCTTTTGAATAAAGATTTTTTGGAAGCCTGAGATTCCTGAGTAAGATGCCATAGAGAAAAATTGTCCTTATGAAGATAAGCATTTATACGTGGAGTAACAATAAATGTTGTTCTTGTATAGTGTTTGAGAGCTTTGTATTAATTTGTTATCCCATCCTCTCTGTGCCCTGAATAAAATAGTTGCATTTTTAAACCATCTGTATTATTGGTTAACATGCATGCTAGCAAGAGATGGACAAAATGTTTAAGATGGAGAAAATGTTGAGCTTGGAAGTCTTCTTGAGGTCATAGAATCAGAATAGGGGACCTCTAAAGACCACCTAGTCAAACCCCTTGCCATGAGGAAGGAAGGACATCTTCAACTAGACCATATCACTCAAAGCCCCATCCAACCTGCCATTGAGTTGCCAGAGATGGGGCATCTACTGCATCTCTGGAAAACCTGTTCCAGCATTTAACCATCCTCATTGTAAAAAATCTGTTCCTTATATCTAGTTTGACTCTACCCTCTTTTCATTTAAAACCATACCCCTTTTCCTATCATTACAGACCCTACTAAAAAGTTTTTCCCCATCCTTCTTAGAAATTCCTCTTCCTGAACAGCTAGTCTAAAGTCTCACTGGAGCTTTCTCTTCTGAACAGCCCCAACTTTCACAGCCTTTCCCTGTAAGACTGGTCTCTGTAGGAAGAGAAAATTAAAAGTATGATTCAGATTCATTCCTTGAAGGAAACTTTTCTTAGGTGACACATACAGAAGAAGTGGGAGATTTTGTTGCATACTGAATCTGCCTGTGGATTGTTCTTCATCAGTCCAAGCAAAAATGAGCTGCTAGTGCTTTCCAAACACAGAGGAGAGCTTAAGAGCAGGAGAGTAGCTGTTGTTTGTACCAGCCTCCCAGGTCACTTTTAGACCACTGTGAAGATATATGACAAAAGGGACAATGGTTTTTTTTCCAGAATATCCAAAAGTTCACTCTCCATATAGTTAATGCTGTATTCTAATATACACATCTCAAGGTCACTGAATGCTTTGCATGGTTTCATTATATGATGTCAAGCACTGTAGTATATTATACTTAAAGTGCCTTTCCATTGTGACTCTCAAGGTTAAATGCCTTCAATGAAAATAATCCACCTTAGTACTACCTATCTAATGAAAATGAGTATCTGCTCTTTGTACCTTCAAGAACTATTTCTTGATTTATACTGCCATATAAAATAATTGTTGACTGCAAGCTCAGTGTTCTGATAGATCCTTTCTTAATCTGTGATTAAAGCAGCACTCTCTTGACAGTGGGTACCCTAAAAACAGATATTTATCTAGAGCTGCAGTCTCCTGAGAACAAAGACTCTCCAGATGTTACCTTTACTGTTAAAATTTTAAATTTTGGTAGGTCAACAATGTTACCTTTCTAAGTCCTCTAGCATCCACTGTAAGAATTCGTCTTTCAGTGCATATGCTATACAGTAATTTTTATGTGCAGTTTAGATCATTGAAGAAATCTAGTTCCTGATTAAAGGGATCTAGTAGTGCTAGATGTGCCCTGAGAAGGTGGGAGAGAACAAAGCAGTGTGAACACTGCTGCCTGTTTGTCTCACACCAGACTACTGGCTCCCAGCTCACAAGAACTTTTCTTAATATTAGAGTTGAGACTGCAAATCCCAGTGCTAAAATGTGGCATAGCTCGTGGCAATTATATAAACTTTGTGTTTTTTTTACTCTGTGGTTCCCCTTATTTATTCTTCATCAAAGGTGGAAGCGTGATAAGCATGATATGGGAGCGTTTGTACAGATGGGAGGACAAAAAACCAACTGAAAGACAAGAAAGTAAAACTCATTTCATGGGAGGTTGTCACTTGCTGTGACTTGCATTAATAGCTGCTGAAACGGTGGGAAGAGTGGGTCAGCTTTCAGGAGTCAAACAGGGTGCAGATTGTGCTGTCAGCATCAACCTTGCTTTGGTACTGGGAAACAGGAGAAATTGAGGTTTTGTTCATTTCTTTTTTTAGTGATTTTGAGTTGTCTTTAGTGGCTTACTGAACTGTGGGGAGACCATAATCCATTTATGACAGGAAATACAATGATGCTCATAAAGAAGAGGAAGATTCCTCATACTTTTCTCTAAATGTTTTTATTTCCTTTTTCTGTTCCTCAGAAAAAATTAGGTTTATTAAAATAATTATTAAAAATAATAGAAATAAAGTGAATGGAAACGGTTATCCATTTCTTTACCTTTTCTTGTACTAATAGTGTTGTGGATCCTGTCCTGAACAGGACACTTAGGTAGTTGTACTATGTAAAACTTATTTAAAAAACAAGTTGCATTACATTAATTAAAGCTCGTGAACTGCACTGGTTAGAATAAGTACTACAAAAAGCTTTATTCTTAATTTAAGATTTCTTGTATTTTTTGCTCCTTGAGCAAAATCTTATTTGGTCAAATTAAGATCTGTCTATGGCAGTAGGATGGTTCTTCAATAAATCATTTCTTTTGGGAGAAGAAGCTATTAGAGCTACTTGTGTCCTTGGGGTGGAGAGTGTACTTCCTGCTAGTGCTCAGTGTGGTGCTGGTGGAAACAGTGTTGGCTTCCCTTAGCTTGGTTGTCTGAGTCTGTTAAGTCTTTGCAAAATCTCACCTTACCTTGAAGAAGACAAAGAGAATATATCCCTAAAAGAGGTTAAGAGGAGAATACCTCTTGTCATGGAGACTAGGAACAGGCTAGTTGACAAGTGAATACAGAGGTATGCACACTCATTTCTCCTTCCCTCTCCCCTGTTCCATGAATAGGAAGGTTTGTTTTGAGAGGAAGAGAGATCTGATAATTGTTTTTTTTAACTGTGATTTCAGATGAAACTGTCAGATGCTACTGATGAAGGTACAGTTTACTTAGAAAATAGAGAATGACAAAAAATACTTGAAAGAGACATAAGATATTCTCCCCTATTGTGGGCATGTGCCTTATGGCTGCATGTGATATGGAAGCTTGGTTTTAAAAGTTACCTCTTGTTTTTTGTTACAGTTCTTGTAGTCATCGGCAGGGTGATGAAACTGAGTGTTTCTGAACTCTTAATTACCTTGGATAGTATTGTGAAAGTTGTTTTCTATTTTATTTAGTATATTTAGTAAAGAGATGATCTTTTCCTTACTTCAAAAAAAATCTAGACATGCTTCTTCAGTTTATTGCATGAGGAAGAAAGAAGGTGGCCTCAGTTGCAAATGATTTTCCAAAGAAATTTTTCTTTTCCATCTTCGGTGTCTTCTGACTTGAAATAAAGTTTTGTGACAAAAGAAAGATTAAGGTTAGGTTTAAAAAAATCCCTCTGAAATTCTGTTCATACTGTTCATACTATTCATACTACTACTGTTCATACTCTTGAATATATGTTTTTGTGGTTTTGGGTACTATGAATTGCATTTTCTTTCTAACCTTCCTTTGAGTTCACAAGCATTCCAGGATACAAACGTTTTAATAGAAGCATAGTATTATGTCATGTTACACATATACAGATATTATTTATATAGATCATGGAAAACTTCTCAATAGCACTGTTGAAACTATGTGGGGGCATAGAACTAATTGACATCGATGTGAGCACAGAATTTGGTTGATTGGTAGCTTTGAAAAGTTTTTAAAACAGACATCTTCAGACTTTAGCATGAAAATAAATTCTGCTGTATGGTAGTATTAGCAGTTTAACAGTTCCGAATTGTTCCATTCTGTATATCAGAAAAATTATACTTGTAACAGGTTAATGTAAGATATTCTCAAAGGACTCAGTTTACATTCTATGAGGTCTTTTTCTCCTTTCTACTTACATGGATGTTTTCAGCAAGAGTTCCAAGAAGACAGACTACCCAAAACATGGTGTGTCTCTCCTAACTGTTTTTTTTGTGTTTTTCATCATCCGGCCTATTCAGCTTTCCTCTTCACAAGTGCCTCATTTCTTACTGTAATAATCCCTAAAGTGCTTGAAGTTTCACTCTTACTGGATTTAAAGATAGACATTTAACAAAAATAAAACCCAGAAAAGTGTATGGTTTTTATTGTGTTGCAAGATAGGAAGATAGAGTAGTCAGTAGAAAAATCACTTGTCCTAATCCTGTCCCTTTTACTTGGTCAGCTGTGGGCTGTATGGGAGGAGAAAGAGAAGAATCTATTGGGCTGGTCAGAGAATTGATCACTTGGAGAGGAGAGTTGTTAGAGGAGCTTTGCTTTGAATTTTCTGATGCTTTTCTGAAAGCAGACTGCTGTTCTCTAGCAATATAGAGTAAATCTTTAGTCTTTTGCCTTTCATTCTTTTCTGACTTACCTGTTGTTACTGCTGTTTTGGTTGTGTGCTTTTCCTGTTCTGTGATAATACTGATGCATCTTTCCTACTCTGTTCTTATTTCTATCTTCTCCATTTTACCCTTGTGCTGTGTTACTGCAACCTTCATTTGTCTCCTGTCAGCCCCAAATTGTACAGCATGTGATACTAAAAGCAGCTTTGATGTCCTGCTCTAAAAATGCTCTAAACCAAACAATACAT